TTGCAAGACCTTCCGAGCTATATCACAAACGCAAAAATTGTGAAGGCTCTTTTTTTACCTAATATAATTACCATGAAAATAAATTTTCAAACTGCTGTTATTATTATTATTATTATATATTATATAGAGATTGCAGTAATTTTGAATACATTTAAACAAAAGATGGTTCAAATATTTGGGCATAGAAAAGGAAATGAATTTGGTTTATTTTCATGAAACAAATGAAGTGTCAGATGAAGTGTCAGAAGTGCGTATGAAATATTTGCAAAATTTTCAATGGTATAGAAAAAACTAATTACCTATTTTTATTACCTAATAAATCACAAAATATCGACTAAAAACCACAATGTATAGAGAGGTATGTTCATAACGACAGTGCTATTCAATTGTATGTAATTTTGTTCAAAAATTACTTTTCAAGTATGTATATTATTTTTTAAAATAAACAAAAATTAAAATATTAGTTAGTGTAAAAGGATATGACAAGAAATGGTAGATAGATTTAGAGGTATTACTTCAGATAAATGAGTGAAATTTAGTGAAACTTCTAAAGTTCAAGAAACTCAAATTGAGAACAGCTTAATTCGGTTAAAATCATTAAAAAAATTTATGGATAACTCCATAAAAATTAGTGGTACCATGGCATCGGGCAGCTTTAATATTTGTTTTATTTTTTTGAGAATTTTGAAATGTTTGATTTACTTCGAACATTTTTGATTATTTTTTAAATTTTAAAATGTTTGAATATTTTTTATCTTTTTTTTGTAAAAAAGATTTTTTTAATCATTTGAAATTTGTTAAAAATTTTAGAACTCATTTAAGTCGGTTGATTTATACTGTTGAAAATTTCAACAACATTTAAACTACTTAAGTGAACTTCAAATATTTGAAAATACAATTTTATAAATTAGGAAATTTGCTATAAAAAATTATTTGTAATAGTAAATATAATAGACTAAATATATCTTCAATTAAAAGAAAATAAATTTAAATATTTGAAAATTATAAGGTGTAAAAAATCAAGCAGTAAATAAGAATTATTATTTGGTATTAAAATGTTAATATAGCCTTATTTAGTCTGAAATAATTTAATAAAGTTCTTAATTGAATGAATTTCTACAATAATTTAAGTTCTTTATTTAAACTACTTGTTACCAAAATACTACACAAATTCAGCTATAACTATATACATAATCAAATAGCATTCACACGTCCATTATATAGGAACATATATGTACTTCATTTTTTACGAATTGCTGGCAAAAGTATTAAAGTGTATAATCATTTTCAATTATTTTTCTACACGAAGCCAATCAATTTAAAAGACATTTAGCAGTAGGTTTTCATTTGATCCATTAGCTTAATAATAAAAGTGATATACATTTTCTGATAATCTTGAAATTTGTTTTAAAGCAAACTTCTGAAGATAATACTAATATGTCATATATAATGGGTAGTACTGTCCTAGGGTTAAACTCGATTCAGGGAAGATTAGTGTGAGAGGTTTTCCATTGCGATTTCACAAGCCAGTGCAAAAATAAGAATGAAATTGACTAATATTCCCAATGATTGCAAATTATTTTCAGCATATCTATTATTGTAAATTATGACTGATTATATTATCGATTATAGTTTATTTATATATTCAATATTTTTACAGAAACTAATGGCCGGGCACACTGCGAAGAACGGGCCCAGTGCAAACGATGACCAGCCAAAGCAAAGCAGTGGTAAAACCTTGAGCATTTTTCAAAATAATTATGAAATTTATAGGATAAAGATATATATATATATATATATATATATATATATATATATATCATGAAGATAGTAAAGAAAGTAGTTTTATATTGAAAACTATATTATGCGAGAGTAATTAAGTTAAATGTTGGATGCTGAGGTAAGCATGCCAGCGCATATAACGCATCATTACTAAAACATTTCATTTTATAAATATTATTTAAAAAAAACGTTCAAGAACAATACATGGTTGTACGTACCATTGTTGTTCACGGTACGGGCACATTATGAAAATAAAGATAAAAAAATCTTAGCCGAATCATGAATAATTTTCATTAATTATACATATAATAGTTTATACGTACATATAATAATTTCATTAGCAATTATTTATTTCTCTATAAGTACGATGCCGTAAAATGGATATATTAAAAATTAAAACGTTTGTTATAATTGCTAATACATAATTTGAAATTCGCTGCATTAAGTACAATCTTGAATAACAAAATTTAAAATACATTTTTTGGCCGTAATAAGGATGTTTTTTGCACATTAATACGCTAGTCTTTCTTGCAGAACCATTGAATTCTTATAAGAACGTAAATAAGATTGCTTAGAGTATATATGGTATACTCTCACTTAGTGTTTTTGGATGTGGTCCGAGAAATGCTATTTAGGACGACGATTTCCAACTTTAAATAAACAAAAATAATAAAAATAAGCACAAAAACCAAAAAGTAGTTACTAGTTTGATCAAATTTCTGGGTTTTATATGAAAGCTCATAATTTTCCAACTGCATGAGATACATGTTATTTGTATTTTTTTCGAGATGTTTACAATCAATCCTCTTTCACCCCGTTTTGGCTCACTTCGAGTTCTATATCACCCTGTATATAATAATAATAATAAATATCAGTCTGCTCGAAGGCTGGTCCATAGTGCAAGAGTCTCCACAAATCAATGATTTCATTTTCCTTTTTTGTTTATCATACCCATTACCATTGAACCTTTTGCAAAATAAATGCGATCGAGTTTCTTGTATTTTTTAGGATTGTGCCCAATAGAATTGTATTTTGCCTACTCTTTTTGGCACTTTTCCATCAGTTATCTTATCTGTCCATTTTATCTTCTCCATTCATCTCTAGCACCAAATTTCAAAACTCTTCAGATAGTTTATGTCCGTCTTTCTTAGAGTCCATGTTTCTGATCCATATAGAGCTATGCTCGAGACATACTACTATTAGTTTTTTCCGCAGGTCGAGACTCAGTTTGCTCGTCAGTAGCGTTTTCTTCTTCGATGCTGGTCTCCATTAACTTCTACCCATTTCGACAATTCTGCTCATCATGATTTGTAGCTCATGAGCTCGGTTTCAGTTTTTGATATCACCACGAGATCATCTGCATACTTTATGATGGTGATTCTACTTCCTCTAATCGAAAAATCTCCAGTGTGTTCAATTGTCTCATTGACGAGCCACTCTCGTTATTGATGCTTAGAAAGTAGGTTCGTAAAATGGGAGCATTTTTATATAACTCGTTTTCCTAATCTTATTTTCATACCATTTTTGACTTCTGCAAATTCGGTTTCTATAATTTTCTTATCTAGCAGAAGTGCATTTTTCTGCTTCCTCGTACTTTTAGTTCTTAAATGTCTGTGCCCAAGACTCACTTTCCCCAACATAGATCCGACTCAGTTTCTTATTCTTTTTGCAATCATATAGTACAAAATTCTATTTTCTCCTTCTCTTTGCAATACTTTTTGATTACAAATTACAAATTACAAATATATTATATTGCTTTTAATATGTTATATAGTTTTCTTGTACATCACAAACCCACTCTGTAAATCCGCAATTTTCTCTCTCCATGTGACTGACGATTTCTCTCTTGTGTGCCGATTTAGCCAATCACGAACGCGTGCAATCTGTACGATGTACTTTTTGGGCGGACTATTCAAACCCTTCACAATTGACGCAATCAAAATAGAAACATCAATCAAAAATAGAGCTTGTCAGCATCAGCATTCGATAGGTTTCCAAGCGAAATCATTCCATTGAAACAACATTTTGGGATTCATTGTAACACGTTATATGTGTTTTAAACCTATTGGCATAGTGCTGACAATTATGTATTTGTAAGCAAATGATTTTGAAAGCAATTTTGCGATTGAACGTTTATAATGTATTTTTTTTTAATTTTAATTTTATTCTGCAATCAAAATATATAATTACATTTAGCAGAGATGCTGACAAGTTGTTTACAAATTAGTAGATACCCCCAGTGGCGTATCTAATAGAGCTAATATAATATAAAAAAAAACTAAAAACAAAAGAAAAAAGAACAATAAAATGTAGTAAAATGAAAGTATTATAGTTAATTAAATTATATTAGGTCTCCAGGTATTTTTTTTTTGAGTCTGGTTGGCTGGCCTTCCTGGTATAAATGACATGCTAGTTGGTTAGGATGGACGTCAATTCTGTTTTTATAATTAATGACAACCATTGATATAATGTAAATTAAAAAGCATCAATTTAAAACCAAAAATGGTTTTATGGGCTCCAAAAAAATTGATTTATTTCATAGAAAAATTATGATAAAATATATACAGTATAGTAACTATATTTTGGTGAAACCAATGTTTAAAAATTTAAATGCAATGATTTTTTAAATTATATTTTAATTATATAATTATTTAATTCATAAAGCCTTAACATTTGAAATTGTTAATTGAAATACATAAAGATAGTTGAAACGCTTTGTTAATAGGTATATTTCATTGTAATTTTTGAATTTTGTTCAAATTTTAAAGCATTAATAAATTTTTTAGCATATAATGAAATTGTAGAAGTCTTATTTTTATGACCAAAAAAATAATATTAAATGCAAATTAAAATTATGTTTTGTCAAATTTTGCTAAAACCGATTGAAAGCCAAAAAAATCAAGAATTAAAATTTTTGAAGCATAATATTAAAATATGAGTCAAAAAAAATTAAATCGAGAACTAAAATTTTTGAAGAAAAATATTAAAAATACGGTCAAACTGATTTATGATTTTCTAAGCTAAATTCAGTGAATACATAATATTTATTACTGCATTTTAACATACAGTTTGAACTCGAGAAATTAAAAGGTTTCATTGAGTTTCCAATAGACAATTTCACAAAGAATGTAATTGCAATTATTCAAAATCACTTTTTATTTATAGATTAGTTATAATATATTTTTAATATATAATTTATTTTGTTTGAAATAGAACCCATGAATGGTAACAAAATCCATCGAAGAGGCAAATGCAAGTGGTTTAATGTGGCCAAAGGATGGGGGTTCATTAAACCAGACGACGGTGGAAACGACATATTTGTGCACCAGGTTATCATTCTTTATATTTACCGCTTATTTATAATACTTATAATCAATCATATAACTGATTATATATTTTTTTCATTATCTCACTAGAAAAATTCTGCGAAATTAAACTGAAAGACGTTTTGCTCTTAAGCACGTTAATTCTCGTATTTTTGATTTTAATTAAAATTAAAATTGATAACATTTGACTATCCTTTTAAATAATTTGTGATATCTATAAAGAATACATAATAATCATAACTGATCGATAATAAACCAAATTCTATTTTAAAATTAGAAAATGTTTTTGCCTTACTGTTATAAGCTGTTTTATGTTAAATAAACTATAAATTATTTTAGAGCAATGAATGTTTGAGGGCTTGATATTAACCAGTTGATTGTGATTGACGAATATATTCGTCATGGAGAAGCTGCATAATTTTGTGAATTGACGAGTATATTTGTAATGCGTATAACAGTGACCATTTGCTATTTGCATTTTTTTATAAAAAACAATTTTTTTCCTGATATTTAAAAGTTGTTTAGGTTATGATTGAATAAAATAAGTAGCAGTATGTGGCACTCTCCCATAAGGCATGTTGCATAAACTACCGAAATGTGGAAATAATATAACATAATAACCATTAAAATTTAGCTGTTTGAATATTATTTTCTACTGTTTATTTAGAAAATTGTGTATACTTTTTATAAAAAAAACTATTTCTACATTTTTACATTTGCATATGAAATATTTTATTAAAAGCTTGATACGTATATTATATATGGTTATAAAGAAGTACAATATAGTAAGTACAATATATTAAAAACATTTTCCAATTTAATAAAGCAAACTCATATTGTTTATACAATATTTTAAACAGATCAACTTATTTTATGATTGACGTATATACTCAACTCTCGAATGAGAGCGCCAAAGATGACAGATTAAAATTTATTCTACTACAAAAATAATCTAAACCAAATGAAAATCACTAATCAATTTTTTCAAATAGGTAGTATGTATGTACTCACATAATAGGAATAATAACAGAAATATTATAAATACAAAATATCAAAGTTGTAATTATGGCAATACTATTTTAATTGCTCTTGAAATTTTTCAAATTAGCCATTTACAAATTTGACAAATTAATCATATAACTTTTAAGCTGGTCGAGTAAAATTTTTCACAAAAAATATATATGTAACAAAGATCTAGTAATCGTTCTAGATCATATATTGAAATCTTCTTTAGAGTAAACCAACAAAATGACAGAATGAATAGGTTTTTTGTCCAAATAATTGATGCAAACAGCTAATTCAAGAAATTCGTAAAGAGTTATACTAATAAATATTGCCAATCAAAAAATAATATCAGCATAATTTTTTTTTAGAGTTTGTCAACAGAACACTCAAGGTACCATTTACTTAGCGGCTATCCACGAATGGATCGTGCTATTTTATAAGCGAAGCAGGGGATCAACCCCATTATGTTTTTTAGTTCCCCTGCTAAAAAATCACAAAGTGCAACAGGTTTACAAAATAAGGGTAGATTTTTTATGACGCTATTTAATAATATTTATTTGATATCGGTGAAATGAGTAATTTTCGGGGCATAGTTCAAATCGTTTATTAAGTTATGAATTTATTTAAAGGGGAAATTTATCACGCTGGGGTCACAAATTATAGCTGAAACACATTACTTTTTTATTACATAATTCATTTAAGACAGTTTTTTACCCAGGCGCAGAGTAAGTTGCTCTGATGAGATATCGGATGATAAATATGGGTTTATTTTACAAAATAATTACTAAAATTTACTACTTTGTTATAATAAGCATCATGAATGAATGCCGTTAAATATTTATTATGCATATAAAAGTGGGGGATCCTGGGTACGGTTGTGCCAGGTTACGGTAGTGACAGTAGTCATAACTCATAACTGCTGAACTGATTTTGAGATAGGGTCCAGAGGACGAAAAATGAAGTATGTTTGTTCAAACAAGTTTCCAATATGGTATTAAATCAGCGTCATACATTAACCTGATCTGTAGACCTCATTGCTTATAGAGTCAAGAACTTTTATTATGCGATTTCTTTGAGTAATAACTTAATTTTTACAGATAGACCCCGTAGTGACAGCAGTCATAACAGCTAACAGTATTTCAATATTTCCTGTATTCAAGGACAGTATTTTAGTATTTCCATGTTGACAAATGTCTAAATTACCATTTAATTTACTTTTCTCCCTGTTAACTTGTAAATTCACAAAATTATTGCTAATCGAAATAAGTGGCACAACCGTACTCAGTCCCTCATATTATAATATGTTATAGACTTACGAAAAGTAGTTTAAATAAAAAAAATATTAAATTTTGGAATTACTACTTTTAGCATATCACCTTATAGATATATTGCGTTCTATGTTTTGTACTAATCACCGTTGACATGGACGCTTAAATAAAAGACATTTTTGGAACACGAATTGGAATAAAATGTGTTAAATAAATTGAATTACATTAAAACAATTATGTGCTAAAAGTTTGTTTATAAGTATCAAATGGAAATTGCGTTTACTAGTTTTGGTAAAGAGTAAAAAATTTATTTTCCAAAATAAGCAGTTTAACAGTTAAAAAGCTAAATCCCAATTCCTATGGATTATGAAATTTACCTTAAGACAAAATGCTAATTACATTTACTTATTTTATATACTTATAGCCTCAAACTTTTTTATACAACCTGATATTTCAAAATATATTTTGTTTTCTTTCTTAAAGATTTAATTTAAATAGGAAATAGTTACTGTTTCATACGCATGACAAATATAATCGTCAAAGTACAAAAATCGGTGACTTCTCCATGACCAGTGACAAGCTAATAGTTATTCTAAACAGTAATTTGTTTTTAACAATTTTATAACTATTCTGTGCATCTAAATGTTTGTATCAGAGATCAGAGACTCAATCATAGATCAGAGACTTCTCTTTCAATTAACAGTATATTTAAATTTTTAATTTAATTTTAATATATATTTTGTACTATTTCTTCTGGATTATTTTTGTATATCAAAAAGTTTCATATTACTCTGTTCTCAAAGGCGAAAGTTTAAACTTCAATTATTTATTACATTGACGACATTTATCTGGCATCCTTTATTTAAAAGATCTTTGTTTTTTTAAATTTAGTTTTAAATTATTTTTTTATTTTCAAAAAATCGAATGAAAAAAATTCTTGAGTAGATCATTTTCCACCTTTGAAATAAACTTTATATGCATTTTAATATTCTTTAAATTTATAAATCTGTATTGTAGATTGACGTTTATATGTATTATATTGTGCATGTTTTTAACCCTTTGCTCTCGTTTGTCTGCTCTCATTCACCACGGCACATACGCATTCATACAGCATATAGTAATTATAAAACTGTAACTTTTCTACAATAGCATATTACTACATAAATGTATTTTAATTAAGGGGGTATTCTAGTGTAGAGCGATGAATTTTAGGTCATTTTTAAAGTGTCGTAAAAGAAAGCAATAAATGTTTTTACTATCCGTTTATTTTACCACCTGTTTATTAATGTTATTAAAATACAAAACAAAAATTAAACTAGCTGTAAGTGGAATTCTGTCTTAAGGCAATTAAGGCATCGTGCCTTAAGGCAAATTGCTGGAACTTCCCGTACCAAAAATTATTATTTATTTAAAAACCATTAAAATTTTTGAAAAAAAAATTACTTTGAAAAAATAAGATTACAAAAAAATTTTTTTAATTTTTTTTTTTAATTTTTTTTTTTTTGAAAAAAAATGTTTTCTTTATTTTGACATATTTTGAAAGATCTAAACTTTTTTTCAAAGCGATCATACTGCTTTAACTGCATAAAGACGAAATATCAAACCGCGTAAGCGCCGCGTCGACGTCTAACGCGTAGACATTGGTACGGAACCCATAGGAATGTAAACCAAAATTATACTTATTGTTAAAATCTCTATAAAATATCCGATTATTTGATGTGCATATGTCTAATGATTATTTTTGACCGCCAAATGGCATTTTTTTTACTTTTTTCATTAGATCTCCGAAACCGCTAGACCTGCCTTTATGAAAATTTGATCGGTTCTTCACCTTGTCAATACAAGTAAAATGTTTTCTGAATTATTAAAATCGGACACTCCGTTCTCTTAAAAACTGAGTTACCGTTTTCGGCACTTTTCGCCCCGTATCTTCGGAACGGCTAGACCTGACTTCGCCAAAAACTAATCAGCACGTCTCCTTATCAATACGAATCGAACGTTTTTTGAATTATTCAAATCGGTTGATCGGTGTTCCCGAAATCTTCGACGAAAATTTGTATCCGCACATACATACACACGCACACACACACACCCACACACACACACACACACATACATCCATTTTTTCTAAGGTATGCCCAAATATTCAGAAACCTTTGAAACGTCGAGAAATGCAAAAATTTTCATTTTTGATTTTTTTGCGATTACTATAACTTGCCCTACGGGAAGTTAAAAATAAAAAAGTTAAAAATTGTAAAAACTGGCAGCTGATGAAGAGGGGGGTCTCAAAAAATTGGCACCTCAGTCTTGACATGATTTCAGCCCTCCTAGCCATCGGAAATGGAAAAAATAAGAAGATTATTAATCTACAATGATGTCGCAATCGCCCGAACTTGCGATGAGTAAAAAAAAATTTTTTTCACAAATTGGCGACTGTTTGAAAAAAAAGTGTTTTTTTACTGTTTTTTTTTTAGTTTCTCAAATTTTTTAAAAAATAGTAAATATTGGAATTTGGGGATAATTAGATAATAAAGTTCGCGCTATAGATAGGTCTATAAACAAGACTCTCCGAACATTTCAAGTGAATCGGTCGATTAAAACTCGAGAAATCGTGTCAACAGTACTGAAAAAGTCTGTTCTGAGAAAAACGCATTTAAAGTTTTGCGTGAAGTCCAGATATGGAGATCGAGTCAGTAAAATTCCTATATCTCCGAAAATAATTCAAATTTTCAAAATCCTTTTTGCACCCATATTCTTAAATAGTTAAACTTCGAAAATATGAAATAAAAAAAAATCGTATTTTTTAATTTCTACACTAGAATACCCCCTTTAAGGTATATCCAAAGTCCACAAAATAATTGCTAATTCTTGTTTATGCATTCAAATCTAGTACGATAGCCATCTCCAAATTCCATTCGAGGGCAAAGGGTTAATTTTATTTATGTGAAAAAATTCTATTCGCATCGTTTAGTAAAATAATAAAAAATATTTTCCAAGCAGAGTGTAATACAGATGTCCGGTTTTCGTTCCCTTGGCGACGAGGAAGAAGTTGAGTTCGAATGCCAGGCGTCGGAACGAGGTATCGAAGCGACGCACGTCAGTGGCCCATCGAACAAAGACTGCTTGGGGAGTAATAAGAAGCCCTCAACCAAAAAACGATTCCGGAAAATTCGGTAAGCTATATTCCGATAATATTTTATATTGATTAAAACCAACTAGTGGTGCATGGCATCGTGACAAACTTGCTGCAACTTTCCGTACCAAAAATTAAAAACATTGAAAAAGCTTTGAAACTTTTCGAAAACATTGAAAAAATTAGATTTATGAGAATTTGGAAATTTTTGGTTTCTTTGAAAATGTAGAATTTTTATATATTTTGAAATTTCTTGAAAATTTTGAATTTTTTTTTTCAAAATTATCGCGCTACGTAGCTGTTTTAGAGATGAAATATCAAAGCTCGTAAGCGCCGCGTCGCAGTCTAACGAATAAACATAGGTAGAATTGTAGACAAAATTTGTACTTATTATTACAAATTTGCTGGACCTTTCCGTACCAAAAATTAGAAATATTAAAAAAGCTTAGGAATATTTCGAAAACATTGAAAAAATTAGATTTGAGAATTTCGAAAATTTTGGCTTTTTGAAAAATTTGTATTTCGAAATTTCTTGAAAATTTTTAAAATCTCTATGAAATATCTGATAGTTTAATGTTCATATGTCTAATGATCATTATCGACCGCCAAATCGCATTTTCTTTTAATTTTTTTATTGGATCTCCGAAACCGCTAAACCTGCCATTCCAAAAAAATCACCAAATCTTTATTCTGTCAACACAAACGTTCCATTATCTCAAAAACTGAATAACCATATTTGGCACTTCTTGTTCTGTATCTTCGGAACCGCTGAACCTGCCTAATCAGCACGACTTCCTATCAATACAAATATTTTTTTGTTTTTGTTAATTATTCAAATCGGTTGATCCAAGTTTCCAAAATCGTCGACAAAAACTTGTATCCGTGCACGGCACAATCTCATTTTTTTAAGGTAATCCAAAATGTTCAGAAACCTTCAAACGTATAGGTATATAAGAATTTTCATTTTCCATTTTTTTTGTCATTTCTATAACTTATCCTACGTAAAGTTAAATATTTTAAAATTTCATTAATTTTTTGTGATCCTACATTCCACTTGGGGGGACAGTTCCAAATTTCCACTTTGCGTTTTAGGTTTTCATAGAAGAAACATTTGTCTCGGAATCAGATTTCTTTTTATCCCGAATGAGCTAAATATAATTTTATTTTAATATAACTAAATTTTTTTGCATATACGACTTGAAACAGACACATTAAAAAAGACAACTCACTGTAGTTAGTTACGAAGAAAATTTTACAGTGTTTTAAATACTGATTGAAACCGAAAAAACACAAATTAAACACATAGTTTAATGAAAAAAAACGTTGAATAAAATAGAATAAACTAAAAGTAAATAATAAAACCAAACTGACAATTTTATTCGGCTGCATAAAAACATTTTAAGGATATGTTTCAACGTCCTCGAAAAAAACTCGTTGGATTACCAATAACTAGTTTTAGTCTCTAAATAATCATTTATATCCTCAATTCTAAATCTAAGCTAAATAAGAATGTTATTCAATCATTGCATCAAAAGATGATCCAAATCAGTTGACCTATTGTGAGAAAATTTTCTTTAAAAATTTTAATTGTAAACAAAACAACCATGTCTTAATATTGCATAAATTGAAACTGTACTCCAAGATTTTTGAGTATAATGTAAAAATTTATTTGTATCATTATAGTTTTAAGGGGCACACCGCACACCTAGTGTGACAACCAAAGGTCATTTATGGGAATTAAAGAATAAAAAAAACTAGTGAATCCATCTATTTAAAATTTTGAGGGTATATTTATACATGTTTTGAGAATACACAGTAAACTTTTTGAAATAAAATATTAAATACTTTTGAAATGACACGCAAACTCCGGCGGCGCCAAAAAAAATTCTTCACTGCTGGCCTGATTGCAGCCTTCTCCGTTGATAAAATATAAAAACAAAAAATTCTCGTTAAACTAGAACATATTGTCTGTACGATGAATGACTCTCGGACGAACAAAAAAATAAAAAATTGACAAAATGGCGGCATGTTGAAAAAAAAAGTTATATTTTTCCCAAAATTTTGGTCGTTTTTAGCCTACCAAAATTCGATTTTTGATCATATCAAAAAACTTGAGGGTCATCGTATGGGAAACTATATAGAGGAGATGCAAAAAAAAATGATAGCAATCGGATCATTTGTCTTCGAGTAATCACTCCAGCAAATTCGAAAATAACTATTTAGAGAAAAACGCGTTTAAAGATAAAATGATCATTATACTATATATTATATATACTTTTTGAAATGACCTCAAAAACTATTTGATTTAAGATATCGCTTTAAAATATTAATATGTTATATTTAAAGGCATGACCTATCAAAATATGGAAACATTTAAAATTCAATTTTTTGAAAATTTCTCACTAGGTGTGCCCCTTAATATCGAATGGATGTTTTGACTTCACACATGTAGATTCAACCCCTAAAATAATTCTACATCATGATGTGTTTAACACTAACGTAAGAGAGATGGCACTAGTAGTTTTATGAATAATTCATTATTTTTTTTATTATTAAAGGTGATAAAAAAGAATTATCAATTAAATGTAATTGAAGTGTTATATATTGCTTTTGTTTATCATATTATTGTATATAATAATAATCTTTGAATTTTAGATGCTATAATTGCGGAGAGTTTGCAAATCATATTGCAGCAAAGTGTGCCCTCGGTCCTCAACCAAAGAGGTGCCACAGCTGCAGAAGCTTGGATCATCTAGTAGCCAATTGCCCAGTTAAAAATGTAAGACTGATTCATTATTTTATTTTTCAATAAGAATTAATGAATAAAAATATATATAGAGAAATTTTTACGAGCATATATACGTACATCATAGTAAAACCGTGTTCATTTCCCAGGGACCGACGTGATGTAGCGTATTATGCGGAAAACCATAGAAGCATAATCAACGGAGTTATTCTTAACAGATATATACATAAATATATATGTATATATATAATTAATTAATTAATTAAATAGTCAATTATTGTTTTTTATTTCGACGATTTGACTGCAAATTTCAAGACATTACAAGAATGTTATAACGTTTGACAAAAAAATCCAAAATTTGTATATGATACATACATACGCAAAGTTTTTCGGCATAACCTATATTGTTCCTAATTTTTATTCCAAAAAAATAATTTTTAATTTTTGAATATTTCCTAAGTGTATAAATGTATATAATATTTCATAGTTATTGTTAACAGTTTTTAAAAGAAGAGTTCGTACCGTATGCCCTGTAAGTAAAAAATATTTAAAAATAAAAATTTTAATATTTTTTAAGAAATGTAGTTCAGAAACAAATTCGTAAATATATATTACACTATTATCTCAAAAACAAGTTAAGTTATAAATATTTTATCAAACATATTTGAAAGTAGAGGGTAAAAGATGTATAACTAGCCATCATCAATTCTTACGTATAATTAATGATAAATAATTTATTTTAATTAATTACGCAATTGTAAATTCAAATCGAACGTAAGAAGCCAAAAAATATAAATATGGAATATAAATCGCTCCATGAAGGTATATAATTATGTAATATTATTATACAAAAAAAAACTTCCTTATGCCAAAATGCTAAACGAATGTATTAACCCTTACGGGACGGCACCAATTTCAAAACAAACTACTGTACCGGGTGTAAACTTGATTTCATTGTGTATGTTACGCAAGTTTTGATCATTGAAGGACATACTTTAGTTTTGATCATTTTATAAAAATAGTAACGTTTAAAACAATTTTCAACATGCATAGCGGATGAGGTGCTTTTCTGTCAGAACAGGCTATACAATCCCATTTTCTTTCACTCGCGTTTAGAACATGACAATGATTTAGTCAGTATATTGTCTGAGAACAATGTAGATGAAAATGTTCGAGATATTCGAAAATCACCTCAACTGATTTACAAGACTTGTTACAAAATTGTGGTGTGACATTGGTTTTTGTTGTTTTTCTTTTACCGCTTACTTCAGAAAATTCACCAATCGTTTTGCCATATTTAAAAAAAGACTATATAGGAAAGAAAAAGACTAAAAATACTTCAAAAATAACTAAATTATTTTTAAAATACAACACTGATTATCCCTGCTATATGTAATCTATTCAACATTTTGATGAAAACTGAGTCAATGTTTATAAAATTACATGTGCCTCACTGATAGCCTAACGGAGTACGTTGTCTACTCAGGTGGACAGCCGTCCCCAAAGAGTTAACATTTATCGATTTAAAATAATCGGTAACTTTAAAAAAAACAAAATCAGTTACTGGCCAATGAAAACATTGGACACGTGGTATTCAATCCGCTCGCAATAAAAATTTTCTGAGGAGCGAGTTGCGCACACGGTGTGCAATCATCTTATTTATGCAAATTTGCTTACGAATTGGGTGATTTCCGCAATAAATAAGTTTTTTTATTAAAAATGAACAATATAAACAAAAAAAATTGTCGCTCCTGGGGACCGCGTTCGAAAAAAATCGCTTTCTCGATTGGGTTAACTTTCGATTTAGATTCGAAAATGTTGGACCAAAGTTGTACAAACTGGCGCAACGTTCGTGACTATTTACCCACCCAGTGTACAGTTTATTACAAAAAAAATAATTTTCTATTTTACAGTTTCGTATAAATATTTTGTAGTACTTGCAAATCCCGTAAATGCAAATGCGTAATATTTTTTTCTGGTCCGATTATCGTACGCGAGCTATGCCCGTAATATTTACATTTGGCCCAGCCAAATCTGCTCGTTATTGTAAGTTAAGGAGTTAAAATAAAAACAACTACCTCAGAAATGGTTACCACTTACAACTTGCAACATAAATTTAATGCTCAACTATTCGAAACTTCAAATCCTATTGAAATAAATCCTAGTAAAATATTGTCTATGTGTTGCCACAAACAACAAAAAAAACTTAATTTTGCATTGGAGTAAAGATGTTATGAAACTATACTAGTTCGAACTCACCTCGGACAATAATTTTCAGATTACCGATTTGAACACGAGTACGCTACCTAAGGTTTAACTAACTCTTTATTTCACTCTCACATTACATAACTTGGTACACGGCACGGTTAGCTATAATATAACAACACAATATTCAAATTACCAACTGAAATACAAGGTTCTTTAAACCTTGCCTAACGTTTTCCGAACTATTCTTCAGGGAGTGCGTTTTAGCCTGAGCGGCAATAGCGGCACCTCCCGATCAATGATTAGATTTTATTCAACCAGTTAACTATGATGATTGACGAGTACAGTTGTCAGGCTATTTAAATTGCCAAACATTCTCAGACTTCACTTTATTTAGAATATTAACTAAATATATAGTTGTGTAAAATATTTTTTTAACAATCGGTTCAGGAATTAATGTAACGTTCAATAACTAATACGCTGACAAGCGGATCGATTTAAAAAACGCTTGGGCACATATGATTTTTGGATTCTAGGAATCAAAATAAGATACTTTGCTCAAGAAACCATACGTCTAAAGTGAATTCTGGTTAATGAAACGTTCCGTTTTCACCCATTTACAGTGATGTAGACCATACATTATATATTTATGTAGTATATGTAGCAAATGTTTAAGAACATTTGTTTGGCTTGTAGGCATATATAATATTTGCAAGTGCAAACTCAGCCAGATTTATATTTTTTTTTATTTTTATTTTTTTACGTCTATATGGTTAGATATTACAATGAATAACAATAATATATGTATACGTAAATATATGTGCTACTATATTTTGATGGCTTCTTCGACGTCGAATTAAAAATATGAATAATTAAACTTTTTTATTTAGCAAAGAATGTTTTAATTTTCTGTTCTGTTCTTTTTACAAAATAAATTGTTAAAAATTGCATCATCAAAAAAATATTCACTACTTAATTGTTTGTAAATTAAATTTGCTGAAAGATGGCATATCAAGTATCGATAAATCTATCACATTGACAAATTTATTTAATTATAATATACTAATTATATATACTACTACATATATATATATTATATATATATATATATAAATATACATATATGTGTGTGTGTGTGTGTGATAAAATGTATTTTTATTACTTCTCCAGGAATATTACTTGCTAAAACATTTATGGTCTGTTTTTCTCTTTAGGCTGATGGTAAATTGGACAATGACACTACTAGCTCTGAACAAAATACCAAATTAAAGACCGTAGAAAAATGCAAGTTACCTGAGAAACTGGAGGCATTAACCATCAAATTGTAACAGGAGTAGTTAAAAATTAAAAAAAAATGTTATATCTATCTAAGATTTTTTGTGAAACGAAAATCGATTATGATGAAACTCAGTTGCTCTTGTATACTTATGTCGATTGATATACAATTCTGTAACATACATAATATGAAATTATCCAAATATTAAACAAGTGCAATTTACAATATAAAAATAATAACGACAATATTTCATGTCGTCTTTCAAAGTACAATTCATTAACTGAAAGTGCAAATATATAGTAAAAAAAACTTACTTTAGCTGATAATATATTCTCAATAAGCTTATATATTTATATACTTTTTATAGATTTATGGAAACACCTATTTCATAAATAATTTGTACAAAAATCATCATCAAAATTTCATATCATTGAGCAGATCTTTTTGTAAATAGAAGTCCTTATCTCAATGCATTTTGCAATAATTATAATTTTGATAATTGTTAGAGAAAGTAAAATATAAATTTATACGAATTTACATATCGCGCTGTGATCCATAAAAACAATTTCCACAGAAAACTGGGTAAAATATACAAATCGTCGTAAATGTTTAGTTTATTAAACATAATTATTTTATTCAAGTGTATAAGCCCAACCAAAGCTATTATTATATGATATTAGTAATTTTTATGTTTAAGTTAGAAAATAACACGTACTATGTACACTTAATTTAATATTCGGATAAGCCAAATAATTTGTCACAAAAATGTCAATAAAAAATGTTTCTGAAGCAAATTCATAATTAGTAATAAAAATCAGCGCGGCCTAGACATTGTAAACATAAATGATATCAATTGCATCATCGATACATCCAACTAAATTTTCAGCTTAAGTTTTAGTTGGTCAATAAAAGCAATTTCACAATATAATAATCTTGTAAAAACAATATACTACCAAAAATTTGCTCTTAATTTGAAGAATATTAACTAAAAAGAATAAATTCGTGTGATCTCAAAATTGCACCACTACAATACTTATTTCGGCTGCATAAAATCAACGTATATTTTATGTATGAATATAAATAAATAGGATATATATATATATATATATATATATATATATATATATATATTAGAGATGGGTAACTCACTCCGGAGTTATGACTCCGATACAACTCCTCCCTCGGAGTGAATCCGAGTGAAGTTGATTCACAGGATTTGTCATATCCGACATTCCTAAACTGGTATTAAATCTGTTAACTTGTGCATACATTTACTGTTTTTGGTGTTTTTGCTTTGGAAAGGAAGCGGTCGCTTTCTCGTCTTAAAGGCAGTTTTATGACCTTTTAGGTATAAAACTCAATAAATACCATTGTGTATTTTCCAGAAAATACAGAAGAATTACGTCAAAGATACAGAACAATAAAGTTGTGTTCAAGTGTGAATAGCTCAAATATATATTTCATTGAATAGTAAGGGGTCATATTTCTAACTACGACAATCTTTGGCAGTGAATGACGGCAATCAGAAATATACATACCGAAAAATACATGAACGAAATACATTTAATCTGGTTTTTACATAGCCTGAAATGACAATACTTTAGAGCGCAAAATTTATCAGTGATATCAATAGTATTTAAGCAGCAAAAAATATTTAGTATTATATTATTACTTTTACAC